TGTTCTGAACCAGGACTTCAGGGTCAGAGTCAAATAAAAAAAAGTGAGGTGAGTCCATATTTGTTTAAGCAGCAGTGTTTCTGTCTGTGAGCATTAGTGGTGAACAGACACAGCCAATAAACAGGCTGCAGGGTCATGATGTCACTTGTGATGTCATTGGTGTTAGCTGGTATAAACAGAGTAAATCCCAATTCCCTTAAATGCATCCTTGTTTCATTCACCTGGGTCTTTTCCTTGTGTCTTAGTCTCACTCACATAAGATGTGAGGAAAATGTGAGGAGCGAGGACATGAGATGTCCTTTCCTCCAATCCTTCATCTGACAGTCAATCACCAACTGATTTCTAATAAAAGGGATTGTCAGTTCATAAAGGACTTTTGCTAAAGCATAGTCTTTTATATGCTTGCTCATGGTTCCTCCAGCAGCCGCCTCGCTCCTCTGAACAGGAATTCTTATTCAGGGATGGTGTACTGGAATGACTTCTGATAGAGACAGTCTGCAGCTTGCAGGTTACCTCAAGTTATGCCACTCAAGTCACATGCCTTGTGTTATACCCCCACAGTATTACACTGAAGTTACGCCCTTTACTGTTGCTATTTCTATTTTTTTTTTTTACTTTAGTTACACAATGGAATATACAACAGGTTTGGCATTTAGCAGTCATGAAGCCATAAAGCATAGATGTATAAGTGTATGCTATCTTTAAAACACTCCATGATTATATTTATATTGTGATATTTTCACTGCCTTACCTTGTTGTCAGACAGGGCTTTTCGATGATGGACTGAAGCTGCTGTCAATAGAGTCTGGTGGCTTAAAAAGGAGAGGGATAACAGCTTCGGTTCCCATCGGAAAGTCTGAGTCAAGATAAAGTGGTGCAAATAACGTAGAGTACACTTCACCATGTCTTGAATCTTTTTAGGCGTGCTGATGGTAACTTTAGTAGCTTTAGCTAATAATGTTAATTCTGCTTTACTACGTTTACTATGTGTGCGTTATCACACATATTTTCTCTCGCTCACACTCACAGACTGGAAAGCGAACGGTAGCTAACCTATTCTTCCTTCTTCTGTTTTGGCAGTGGTTTTTGGTGCAGCATCTCACTTTCTAATTGGTCCATAGGGGCATAATTTGAGAGATGTACCATGGAAGGCATAAAGTGGGGTTTGTAACATAAGACTGTCTGCATGCTACAGCCACACCCTTCTCAGGACTTATGGGTTGAGCAAGGAGCAAGGAATGTTCTAACAAGGGGATTGGGATTTACCCAGACTGTCACCTCAATAGAGGTGATAGAGGTGATCCAGCTACTGATACAGATCTCTGCACTTTCCTGGGTTGAAATAGGAGCAGCAGCTATGACTGTTTTCTGCTCATCAGTCTGTGCATGTGCACTGATACCAACACACCCTAGTGGAGGGAGGGGCTGCTCCCCCCTGCACAGGCAGTCAGCTGTGTGTTTACACAGGATGCTTGTAATGCTAATACTTGAGGTGTGAAGACACAACATTTAATCAATCAATGGCACCTGCTCTGCTCACCCCCCCCCCCCCCCCCCGCACCCCACACCAAGCGCACTTCC